AGATGGAGATTTGAATATTATTCATTCGTTTATTTTTATTATGAACGAGTATTTGATATTCGTTTGTTCAAAGAAATTTTAGAAGTTCCGATTATTGCTCTTACCCTGGCAATCCTCTCGTTAATTTTGATTTCCCTGTCATTCACACGCTCAGCAAAAGTCTGAAATATTTTCTTATGAGTAAAAATAAAGGAAAATGGAGCAACGTAAAAGCTTACCTTTTCAAAACTCTTTTTCTTCTCGGCCAACTCGTTCTCTTTCTTCCTGCGGTCTTCTTCCATTTGAGTGAAGGGATCCCTAAAAAGTACAATTGAGAGACCGAAAACGGTACAAACAAGATCACGGTGGAGTCTTCTTACTTATCCAAAGCATGCTTAGGAAGCTTATCCATCTGACGAAGTCGGAAATTTTCATAATGTACAGATCTGGTCACATCGATCATATCAATCAAATTAGTTCGAACAACCATATCACGGAGTGGGATAAAATCATTATGCGCCATGTTTTCCACTTCAACAACTCCCCATGGATACTCTCTGGGAAAAAAAAGGAGAGGTTCGAAGAAGATACTTATAATGTGCGTCGATGCAACTTAACGTACCTATATCTAATCTTCTTCCCGCCTTCCTCTTTCAAAAGATTGCTTCCAACTACAGCAAACGGCAAGCAACTTCTCAGCTTTTCACTGGCTACCTTAAGGAACTTGTTACAGAAGTTAATACCTAGCCTTCGATTCCCAGCAAGCCAAATCTGGCTCAAACCTATTAGATGGTTGTATGAAGAAGGTAAGAAACATGCTTGTAAGACTAGAGATAAGCCATGAAGAGAAAGTGTGAAAACTCCCAATTTCTATTTGTTTTTTGGGAAAGCTCGCGCACAGCCTGAGTCTGCCAAACATGATGGAAAGAAATTGAAAGGTGAAGTTGTTTCAACACGATGACGAGAGATAGAAATAAGTTGCGTCCACCTACATTGGGAGAAGGCTCTGACTTCGGATTTGTTCTTGGTTGCGCACGAGTAGTGAACTGTAAACGACAAATAGTAGAGTTTGATGTCTGTATGATGTGCCTACTCATAACACGATTCTGTGAGACAATTCACTGGATACAAAATATTGGGCATTGACCGTGCTCTGGGCTGTTGACGTTTATGTGTTTTTTTGGCGTAAAAAGTACAATACTCAAGCTTATTCCAAATTCATCAGCTGATTTTTTACTCGGAAGGAAGAAGGAAATCATGGTATAGACACTTAAGATGACCCTTGCATATAAAGATAACGTCTTAATATGTGATGGGGAGAATAGTACGACTTAAGCAGTGCTTCGGGTTTGAGAAAGCCAGTTTTCGT